ACTTCTAAGCATTGAATTTTCATCATAGACAACATTCTTGCTAAGAATCACTCTTTTCTCTGATGGAGACCAAATCCTATATCCCTTGTCTTTATCTCCATAGCCCACAAATACTCCCTTACTCACTCTTGGCTCTGATTTATCTTCACCAACATGATAATAAATTGTGCAACCAAAGATCTTAAGATTAGAGTAGTTAACAGATTTACCAGACCACATCTACGTAGGAGTCCTACAATTGATACCCGTGTGCGGTCCACGGTTAATCAAATAATAGGCTGTACTAACAGCTTCAGCCCAAAACCTCTTCTCCAAACCAGCATTAGAGAGCATACACCTCGCTCTCTCCAACAATATCTGATTCATCCGTTTAGCTACACCATTTTGTTGTGGTGTGTGTCTTACTGTATGATGTCGAGCAACCTCTTCATCCTTACACAATTGATTGAACTCTGATGAACAAAACTCTAGACCATTGTCTGTCCGCAGTCGCTTGATCTTCTTTCCTGTCTGATTCTCCACCAACTGTTTCCACTCCTTAAAGCTTCTAAAAGCTTCAATTTTATGTTTTAGCATAATAACCCAAGTCTTCCTTGAGTAATCATCAATCATAGACACAAAATATCCATTTCCTCCTAGGTTGACTGACTTAGTAATTGTTGTCTCTTGATCAGTGAACATTGAACCAGAGCATTGAGAGAAAGAGATGCACCAAGAAAGGGGAGATACATACAAGATACGATAAGATTCTCTCTTTTTTTTTTACACTTAAATTAGAATTGGCAAGGCAAATGAAAGTTGTGAAAAAGAAATCCATCTGACACATATAGCCTCCTTCTATATGGATCATATAGCTTATGTGTAAAAACAAGTTATTCATATAATTAACTTGCTATATGCTTGACTATACTACAGCAGTCAAAAATTAATGTCAACTCAAAGAAATTTGTTGAAACTGAGGGTGTTATATAAGTGGAAGTATGAATTTTACAAAAGGCCATATGGTATAACAAAGGGAAGCAACTCATATCAAGTTCTATGATGCGCCTAGCTTCTAGTTGATCTCACCAGTAGGCGTTTCATCATCCCTAACTATGTTTAAACTTTTTTCTGAATGGAGAGACCTCATATAAGCATGTGGAAGATCAGTAAATAATGTATGTTTGGTTTCATCATTGATTTCTTCTTTGAATTCATAAAAGCTTATAGTTTGGTCTTAACGATTAGGTACATATGTTCCATAAATTGTTGGAACTAGAGATCTGATAGCACCTTAGAAAAGTATTTTCAGTGATATTTGCAAAGCATATGAAAGTTGGTGATGAATATGTTTTTACTATGAATATGAATAATAATAGTACATAAGGATACACTTACGTTTGGTGATGTGATAATGAGCCGAGATGTTCAATGTCTCGTTCCATCCCATTTCAAGTTAATAAGATCACCGGGAATGGAGTGAGATTCCTATACATATCTTAAAAGTGGCTTTGGAGAATTGATCAGAGACACGTCGATGATCCAACATGTTACATGGACTTGGAATCTAAGTCTAGAAGAAGTTGACCATATCATAGGTGACTACTGGCAAAGAGAGTAATCGAATTTTCATGCAAAGGAGATGACATTAGTGGTCACATTGAGTCAGCCAAGGCAACAAGTGAACACAACTTCTAACTTGAGTGCTTAGTAATTTCAACTGATCTATTCACATAACGAACACAACTTCTAACTTGCCACTGTTTTATATAGTTCTGTCACTTGTTAGGCAGATAGCTTCATAAAACAGAACCCTCCATTCTCCACAGAATCTGACCACACTCTTCCATTTACCCACAACCTATAACATCACCACATATCAATAAACTCTGACCCATCAAACTTCAAGAAACGCAAAGCCAACAGTTTCGCCTTACCTCTTCTGCTAGAGTTTCATGTCTGAGACTGACCCACCGGTTCTTTTTATAAGCCATGCAAATGTATTCTCCTTCTTCACCACAACCAATCTGCATTCCATAGTTTATAACTGTAACAGAGAAGAGATACACAGAAGAACAGTAATTTGTGACCTTGTTTCAGATTTTACCATTGACACAAGCCGGTACTTAGTGTTTGATTCTATCCCTTCGTATAGCCTGCTAAAATCTATCCCCCAGTCTAAAGCCTTTAGTGTTTCAGATATCTCCTTTCCAGTTTCATTCTTTTCCCATTCCAGCACTAATGTTGCAAATCCATTAACACATTAACATTATATTATCATACCACAACAAATGAAATGAGATCACAATTCAAAAGTTACCAATTGTAAAGATAGGCGGGGATCTGCTTATAATGCGACGAACAAAGTTTGCCATTTCCACACCCTCTTGTTTTAATGTCACATAACATTTTATCTTCCAAGCGGATCACTTTAATGATGTCTGCAAACTTTATATTCCCAAAAGCACACTGCATATATATACATAACCACAAAACAACTTCTTCAGAGATAGTACCAGCTTCTGTAGGAAAGACAGAGAGAAATAAATGAAAATAACCTTCAGGTCTCTGATTGAATCTGCAGCCACAACAACGCCATAAGACCTTTGCTCTGGATAATTTGGCATCTTTCTGCATTTGCTACATTTCATTCTTTCATATTCTTCCAGTGTAAAAAGACGAGTTACCAAGCTTTCTCTTTCTGGATTTTTCCAGCATTGCGAAAACTCAAGGATGGCTACGACTACCTCTGCAGCATCATTTAGCTAAAAGGACACAAAAAAAGAAAAAAAAAAAAAAAAAAAGAAAGAGTAAGAATGGCAGTTAGACAAAACCAAGCTGTTTGTAAAATAAAATATGCAATGTTTAGAATCTATCTTTCCACACAAACCATGGAATGAACTTCTTCCAGGGAAGTAAGTAATTCGCTTAGGAGGTAACTGTAGAGTCCTTCGTATTCTATCTGCTCTGAGACAAAAGCAGAAAAGAAATCTCGTAGTGCACGAGGAACTTGTTCCTCCAGGTTGTCAGAAAATGGTTGTCGATTGTGCATCAGATCCTCTTTAAGAACCTTAATGTTACAGAGGGACTGCACTTGAGCAAAACAAGGAAGTAAAGAGATAATACATGAAAATAAATAATGATCTAAATCAGCAGAAGATAATTTACGTTTTGATTTTTTTTTTTGTTGGTGATTGCTTTACCTTGAGCACCATGTGAAGGATTGAATTATTTCTGGCTGTAGCTTCGTCATGTGCTGAGAAGCTAAAGAAATAAGAATTATACATCTCAAGACAATATAAGCTATAGAGCTATAAGAATATTCTTCGATTGAGAAGCTCTTCTACAACAAGGTCACCTTTAGTAGCTTCCTCTTGATTGTTAGTGTTGGATGTCATTTCCAATAGACCCTTTTCACTTGAAAGAGTATCTTCTGGCTCCAAAGAAACATCTTCTGCCGTTTTTACTGATGGAGGTGTATTTTCCAGTTCAAGGTTGACAGAATTTGCACTAGAGATGTAAGTGCACAATTTGTTTAGAAACAATTCGAAAACAAAATATCATCATGACAAAAAAGACTCGTGAGGTACTTACTGTTCAACACTCTTATCAAGGTGACTAGACATGCTTGTTGAAGTTCTCTGTTTTACCATGAAGACATTCCTTCTTACAATTAAATAACCAAAACGTCAGCGAACCAAATAGAAACTTTAGAACTTCAAATTAAAGACCTTTTTGTTTTTAGTTTTCTTTTTCTTCGATGGCAACTTCATCTCCTCCTTTTGTTTTCCCTCGGATATAAGATCTGCTTCTGCTGCAGCTAACTTTGCTTTGTTTTCCATATATATAATACCATCCTACACGATGAAACATAAAATATAACATAAGGACCCAATCAGAAATAAAAATGAAAGCTCTCAGTAGAAATTAAACTAACCAGGATGAGTTCTTTCATTGGTCGAAGAATGTAAGAGCGATAGTCGAAAACAGAAACTCTGGTGAGGTTGTCCAGCAAATGTATCCATATTTTTTTTTTAAATGAACCTTGTTGGTGATCACTAATATCAGAATGTCTATAGACTTCATCACCAATATCGTGGCTTGATTCTACACAATCCAACCACCAGACAGAGTGTAACCTTACCCGCCGTCAAATCCAACGTCTTTGCTCAAGAATCCTACCGTAAGACTGTCTTCTACTTTTTGGGACACGATCCTGTTCTTGATCAGTACAAAGTAGTTTGCACTGTTGTATTATCCTCAAAAAGATTTAAGAGGATAACCTCTGAGCATTGGGTCTTCGTCGTAGAGCCCGGGGGTTCCTGGAAAAGAATTGAGTTTGGTCAACCTCATCTTCCTACAAGACTAGGACTGTGCATCCTTCTTAAAACCCCTAAATCCTTCTTAAAACCTGCCGATATTGTTGGTCTAACAATCCTTGCCCAAAGCCTAACAAAAACTTGCACGAATAATATATAACTTTGGTATTTGTATCCCATATAGATGGAAAAGAAAAAAAATAAGCAAACAATTATATTGTGATTTAATATTACAAATTAAGCATTTATTTGATGGAATTTATGTACACATCTTTGTTTTTTTGTTTAATATATATATGTGTGTGTGTATTTTTTCTTTATTTATTGCTCTCAAGTATCAACAACGTTCACGTAAAACTTGGTCATGGACTGATGGCAAAGTCAAGTTGAACTTCTTTATAAGAAGATGGAGAGGGAAGCGTAGCATATTAGGTAGGCATGGGCCTTCGGTGAGAACCGTTTAAACCGAGCCGAATAACCCGATAATTTCGGTTTTCAGTACCGAACCGAATCACTATTCTAAACCGATCGGCGATATTTTAAATTGATTTCGGTTCTCGGGTATTTCGGTTCGGCGTCTCTAAACCGATCGGTTTTTTCGGTTTACAGAGACACACATATAAATTTAAAAAACCCTAATTCTATTCATTTTCTTCATTTTTCTTCTAACGAGAGAAGAAGTTCTCTCCCCCTTCCCCCTCCCAATTTTTTCTTCGTTCTTCTTCCCCATCTCTTACTTATTTTATTCTCTTCCTCTCTTTCTTTATCTCGTGGAGATCGTGTCTTTCAATAAGTTCTTACTCCTTGACTACCTAATTACAATTTTCAGATTTATAATTGGTAAGTTCTTTCTTCTTTTGGTTTTTGTCGTGAATGTTTTATGCTGGTTAGCAGCTTTGATGTCTGCTTTTTATTGATAAGAATCTTCTCATAACTTAGGATTTGTTAAGTTAACAGATATTGTGGGTTTGAAGAGAATATTGGCGGCGAGAGTAGAGCCGTCACGGGTATGATAGCGCTTTTTAAGAGTCAAAGAGAAAGATGTCTAGCGGTCTTTGATCTGTAACGAAGATAGCATAGTTACACCGGTGCCGTCCAAACTGATCGATGTCAGTGTTGCGGCCGTCGTCACATTGTGTTTGTTGAAAACCCTAATTTTGATGGGTTTGTTTTTGTAAATCGGCCCAACTTGTTAATAAGACCCATTTTTTATTAGTTTGTAAATGAAAATGTGTTAATTGAGCCCACATTTTTGAGAATTTTTGAGAAATACCCCTTTTGGTGTACTCCTTTTTAAAAATACCCCCTTTATCTATCCATTTTCAAAAATACCCCTTTTAAATATAAAAAATTATAAAGTTTTATATAGTTTATAAGGTACTTCTATATAATAACTACTACTGGAATATTCGATACAAATGTTTTAAAATGTTTTAAATAGTTTTAAATCGTTTTTATAAGTTTTATAAGGTTTTTAAAAGGTTTTTAAAAGGGTTTATACGGGTTTTATAAGGTTTTATAAGGTTTTTATAATTTATTTTTACGCTATTTATGAAAGGTATATAAAGTTTTATACACATATAAAGGTAATTGTGTACATATTTATAAGTTTACACACATATTTGGATAAATTTTAACATTTTTAGTGGTTTTTTTGATAAATTTTGAAAAGGGGATATTTTTAAAAAGAGGTATATGAAAAGGGGTATTTTTGAAATTCCCCCCATATTTTTTTTATTTTAGTCTATTTTTGTTTAAATTAACCGAATTAAAAAAGAATTCGGTAATTTTCGGAAGTGATTTAAATGTCAATAGAGATAAGAAAAAAAAGCTTTCTCTCTCTTAACACATCTCTATCTTTTAGAGAGAGAAACGATTTCTGTTTAACCGGAATCTTTTCTGGTTTTGTTATATACAAATAATTTCCGATTTCGGTCGGATATCTAGTTTCCGTTTTGTCGGAGTCTCTGTTACCGGCTTAGTTTGGATTGTTTTCCATCTAAGTTTGGTTTTTGTTCATCTTTCTACAGAAAAAAATATCTAAATTCCGCTAGTTATAGATTGATTGCTTTCTTTTAATCCTGGCTTGATTCTCCTCAAACGATTAGAGTAATATCTTCGCTGAAATATCTTCGTTTATACGAAGTTGGCCTCATGGATAGGTCAAAAGGCGGAGCTTCTATCTTTGAGATTGAGTTGAAGCTATGAAGATCTGACGAATTATTTCAATCTTTTAAGGTTATATGAAGGTTTCAATCTCAAGTACCGGCGGTTCAACTGTAGAAGGATCTATCAAGTGGTTTTCAAGAGTTGAGAGCTGATTAATTTAGATCTATAAGATCAGCTTGGTGGTGGCGATGTGAACGGAGCTTGTGATGAAAGACGGTGACATTGGAGATCCAATCTCAGTTGTTTTTCGTCAAAACACGTGTCCCACATGTGTCAAAACTTGGGCTTTAATTTATAAAATATCTTCTTAGTTTTAATATGTAAAGTCCAGGTTGTTGGGCCTTAACAAAACCACTTGTAATGCCTTTGATGGCTTTCCATATTAATGGATATGGTCGACCAAAAAAAAAAATTTTAATGTCAATAACCGAACCGAATAACCCGAGATCCGAACCGAACCGAAATTTTGTTCGGTTCAATTCGGCAGAATTTCAAAGAACCGAAAAACTGAATAAACCGAACTGTTTAAACCGATTTAACCGAACGCCCAGGGCTAATATTAGGCATTTTTAGGGCATCCTCGTTGGGAGGCTCTTAGAGGGTATCTTAGGGTAAGATTTCCTTAAGAAAACATCTTAATTGGTGCATTGTAATAATTAATATCAAGCTTTTGTTTAGATCTCTAATTTTGAACCCGGTTTAGTTCTGCAGCTAGTCTTGAAAACTCGGTTTAGTTCTGCAGCTAGTCTTGTGTGTTGGTTTACTTCACATCATCATTAGTTTGAGGTTCTTGATTTTTTCTTTAGAATTCTCTTTGTTGTTAATAAACCATACACAGTATACTCTTTGAATCATCGTCATGATCTCAAAAGAAATTTTTGTATATATGGTGAGTTATTTACCTTTAGTAACCTATTTATTTGGAAACCCATTAGTAGAGAAAAACCTATAAAAATGTCAAATAAAGCATAAACCTTTAAATTTATGATGAAAAAAGTATGATGTTTTGAAATGTCATTTAAATCCAAAGTTTAGCTTATTTTTTTGATAGAATAGTCAAGTAAAGTTTCATTGACTTTGGCATTTCATACACACCATTAAATTTCCGTTAATGAGATGGTAACATGATCAATTTTAAGATGTTTATAAATCTTAAAGAATGCATTGGTGTGGCTTGTTGGTAAGTGTTTAAATTTGGAATATGGAAACCGCTTTAAGCTAATATACTCATTGGTTGCGGTCCAATATTTTGAGGAGCCGCAAGGATTGTATTTGATTATGAATTGTATTGGACCTTCTTCTCCAAAAGTTGAAAAAATCTATGATGTCTCATACTCGATCACAAGTAACACAACATGAAGTCCTTCCGTGGATTTTAGAAGCTCACTTTATGAATCATATTCATCTCCGACGATCAAAACGACATAGTGTTACCTAGGTATCATAAGATACCTCTCCAACTACTAAAGCAGAATGCTAATACAATTCATAGTCCTACAAAATGCATGTGGCTCCTCGAAATATTGGACTACAACAAATGGACATATAGCTTGCTCTTCTAGTTAATATAAACCGTAGAAGGGTGTTCATTCCACAATTTAATATACCTAGAAGAGAAAGTTATGTGCTCGTTGGTTGCGGTCCAATATTTTGAGGAGCAACAAGGATTGTATCTGATTATAAACTGCATTGCATCTTCTGCTTTAGAAGTTGGAGTTATCTATCATATCTCCTACTCGATCGCAAGTAATTAACACTTTTCTATTTGGATCGTCAAAGATGAATAGGATTTGGAAAGCGAGCTTCCAATCTCTAGAGAAGGATTCCAAGTTAGTTTCTAACTATTTCATGAATGAGACTGCTACATGGATAATGGAAATTCCCGTATGTGAGGGAGAAAATGATGAAGAAGATGTTAATGACGAAGAATCATCATTATATCATATCCATTGTAAGTAGTTCATTTGATGGTAATCATACTGAATCTAACTTACAAAAAAATATTTCTATTTTTTTTTAAATTTTAATATATCCATTTAAGAAAAATATAATTTTTTCGTAATTTAAATTCAGAAGGATTTTTTTGACATTTCAGCCCTAAAAACTTAGTTATTTAGTTTAATAAGATTTGGTCTTTCTTAATAACTTTACTAAGTTTTTGGTCCATTTTGATAAATCTCTCAATAATAAAATTTTCAAATGAAGAAAATAAATTTTTTGTTTGACTTCAATAATAAAATGGTAGAATAATAAATTAAGTACCAATCTTTAGATAATACAAAATCTGTTTATCATTCATGTAACACACATAATAGTGATTAGTTTTTTTTCCCTTTTCTAAATATTTTTTTCTTAATTAATATTAAAATATTATACAAGTCAAATAAAATTTTACATTTTTGTCATTTACCATTAATATATTATCTACATTTCTGATAAGAATATTATTTTTTGTATTATTATATTAGTTTATTTAATTACAAAAAGTTGTTTCTATAGATTCCAAGTTCTATACCAATAAGAGCATTAACAATAAATTGAAAACAATACAGAAATAGAAAATTCTGAATGACTTTTGAATATACAAATATATATATAGAAATTTTTTTTAAAAAATAATAATTTTATATATAATTTAATAAACATTTAAAATTTAACAAATTTATCATTGTGAGGATTAAAAATATCACAATAATTATAAATTATATGTATCATATGTGTATATATATATATATATATATACATATTAAGAAAATTAAATTAGAGCTATATATCCAGTCGGATCTGAATGTCCTGTTTCTCAAAAATCAAAACATTTGGATCCAGATCCGGAAGTTTCATATATTATTATTCTGATAAGGTTGTCTTAAATCTAAAATAAATTTTCCACCACTAAAGATGATATCAAATTATTTGTCTAATGGGTATTTTTATTGGAAGATGCTTTATATCTAGTTTTTTTTTTATCTTTTCATTGAAAATTCATGAGTCAAAACATAAACATCAAGTTATCACCCGAATAATACGATAATCAAAGAGTATTCAGTAATTAAAAAAAACAAAAAGTTATGCAAATAATTTAAAAATCAATAAAATTGTCTGAATGTAAAAGATCTTAAACTATGTCTTATCAGCACATACCTTTTCCCAAAGAACTGAATCGGATTCATGGTTTCTTCGTTGATGCGTTCATCCCAAATTTTTTAAGGATTTGTTTATGCTATGTTTGTAAGAAAAAAAAATATAGAGCGGCGGATATGATAAACACATAAAAGACTGAGAACTAGATCCTTTTATAGAACCAAAGTTTTTAACCTAGGTTACATTAAAATGGAAACATGCTAAACGACGTCGAATGGATTAGTATTTACATGACGTCGTTTGGCATGCTCTAATTTTGTGTTGCCTAGATTAACTATTTCTTGAAAAAGATCTATATATACCATTTCATATACAAGTTATCTAAAACCAATCTATTAGGAATTCACAAATATTTTGTATATCACATAATCTAACTTTTCACTAAATATTAAAAAATTTCGCATTTATTTGATGGAATTTGTATACACATCTTTGTTTTTTTCGTTTGATATGTAATTTTTCTTTTATTTAGTACTATCAAGTATCAACAACGTTCATGTAAAATTTGGTCATGGATTGATGGCAAAGTCAAGTTGAACTATTTGATAAGAAGATGGAGAGGGAAGCGTGGTATCAAAGGCATCTTAGGCTCTTACAATTGGTGCCATTGTTAATTAGTATCAAGCTTTTGTTAGTTCTGCAGCTAGTCTTGTGTGTCAGTTTACTTCACATCATCATTAGTTTGTGGTTCTTTATGTTTTCTTTAGAATTCTCTTTGTTGTCAATAAACCATATACAGTATACTCTTTGAATCATCTTCATGATCTCAAAAGAAACTTTTGTATATATGGTGAGTTCTTTACCTTTAGTAACCATTTATTTGGAAACCCATTAGTAGAGAAAAACCTATAAAAATGTCAGATAAAGCATAAACCTTTAACTTTATGATGTTTTGAAATTTCGTTTAAATCCCAAAGTTTAGTTTGAATTGTTGATAGAATAGTCAAATAAAGTTTCATTAACTTTGTCATTTCATACACACCATTAGTCTCCGTTAGTGAGATGGTAACATGATCAATTATAAGCTGTTTATAAATCTTAAAGAATACATTGGTCTGGCTTGTTGGTAAAAGTGATTGAATTTTGAAAATAAGAACCGCTACAAACGGCAACTCTCTATGTTACTTTATCACGCTCTAAATACAAATTTATATGAATCTCTAGTTGATTGATAAAACTTAAATGTCATGGGTTAATGGACTTCTGAGTAAATAATATGATGGGCTTTTATTGATCCAGTAACAGTTTTGTTACACTTGTATAAGTAACCCTACCTGAAGCTGCTCTAGCTTCCAGAAGTTTCTTTTCTACTTGACACTAAACATTTCAACAAGTGTCAAAGCTCTTTTGCGTCTTCGTCTCCGTCTCGTCGTCTCTCTTCGCCACAGGTTCGTCGAAGTTTTCAGCAAGTGTCAAAGCTTTCAAAGTTTTCGTCTTTTTAAGAGAATAATGAACAACACTAGCTATAGCTCTGTTGTAACGTCGTTTAAACATTTTGGAATCCTAAATCAGAATCTTGTCTTGTGTAACTGTGTAGAATGGATCGTGCTGCAGAAGCTTATGCTCTTATGTGTAACTGGAGAAAAAATCATCCTCCTTCTTCCTCTTTCCCTCAGGTTCGAAGCTTTCAACTTCTTCTTAGTCTGAAAGAGTATAAAGTTCAAAACTTTATGTAGCTCTGTGTTCTCTACATCAAAACCCTCTCTTGTGTTATTGTGTAGAGAGGTTCAAGTGCATCAGATTCTGCAGTGTTGAGGAGTTTGAGAGATCATCCTCCTTCTTCTTCGTCTCTTGTCAAACTTTCTCAGCTTACTACTGTCAACAACAGATACGAGTCCCCTCCTTTCTCGTCTGGTGGATACAGATGGTATGTGATCTTGTTCCAAACTAAATTACATACCATTTGTGACCTTGTTCTTAACTAAATTTCATACCTTTCATCAGTATAAGTAAGAAAAATGTAGTCTTTGTCTAACCCACTACGTATGTGATCTTGTTCCGAACTAAAATTTCATATCTTTCATCAGTATGAGTAAGAAAGTTTGTGTTTTTGTAACCGATCTATCTCAAATTTATGAAAATCAGGAGGTTGGTTGTGTACCCTAAAGGAAATGAAAGAGACAATGGAAGTGGATTTGTGTCAATGTATGTGGAACTTGACAAGAGCTGCCTCTCATCTACAACAACACCACCCAAGGAGGTCTTTGCTTATCTCTCTTTCTTTGTATTTAACAAGAAAGAGAACAAGTACTTCTCTGTTCAAGGTTCGTAATGCTCATAGCCTATATCTATCTCTCTCGCATGAATATATATATATATATATATGAATGAATCAGTGATGTGTATAACATCTTAACTATTAACATGTAGATGTGGAAGTAAAGAAATTCACTTCGTCAAGAACTGTCTGGGGAGTGTCTCAAGTTCTTCCACTTGAGAAGTTCAATGACCCTGCCAATGGATACATCTTGGATGGTGAAGAACATGAGTTTGGTACTCATGTGAAGATTGCTTCAGCACCCGTCCCTGTTGATGAGAATCTCCCTTTTCACAAATTCACTTGGAGTGTTAGGGATTTCTCTCTTCTGAAACAAGGTGATTACGTATCCAAAAACTTCCAAATGGGAGAGAAGAAGTGGTGAGTCTATGAAAGTTTTGTTTTTGCTTTCAGATATAATGTTTTAACTTTCTAACAAGTGGGACAATCATGTTTTTACAGGACTCTAACATTGTATCCAAAGGGAGACTCTAGCTCAGAGGGCGAATTATCCAAGTACTTGCATTTAGCTGAGGGTGAAAGCTTATTGATTGGTGAGCTGATTATGGTGCGAGCACAGATGCAGGTTCTAGACCCGCGTGGATCCAATCACCTATCAGGAGGATTCCGTAAGTGAAAAAAATGTTGTGTTACAATTTCATGGGAATAATTAGATGCTGATGACATATTCATTAGGCGTTCTTAACTTATGATGTCAAAATGTATAAACCAGTAGTCTTAAGTTTATAACTAATGTGATATACATACTTTGCTTGTTTTGTAGTTGAAAGTTGGGTGATGACCTCGACCACATCGATGGGTCTTCCTCAGTCCATCCCTTTAGCTGAAATTGAGGAGGGCTACTTGGACGGTGAAGATACTTTGAATGTAGAGATCGAAAGCGAAATCACCAACGCCATCAGAAACGACCCCTTCTTTTAGGCTACCTCTACAGTACTACTCTGTCTTATGCATAGAGATTGAATGTGACTACTCTGTTCTGTTGTGTGCGTTTATTAAGGATCTTTTTAGTTATTTCAGCTTTGTTTGTGTGTTGATCTGTTTTATCATGGTTTGGTTTATCTCCTACTTACCAGTTTATTAAAGTTGTATGTGAAATTTAGCATTAATCTCTTATTGACTTCTTCTGTTAAGGTAAAATTTAGCATATCATAGTGTATTAGAGATTTCACTTAGAATTCAATAGCCGTAAATTACACAATTTTTTGCACTTTTTTTTTCTATGTCCACAAGGATGTGCGTTGTCGAAACAAGGCATAGAAGCATGAAACAAAATGAAATATTCATGTGTCGTATTATGTGGAACATGTTCATGTTTATGACACTATGGGCATTCTCATGATCAAAATAAATATAAACGACGAAAATATAAGAAAATATATGAGAAAAAAATAAACGAAACAGTGTATTTTAACCACACGAAACGACTAAATAAAATTAAAACCAAAGCCTCTTAATAAAACACAAGAAAAAACCTTAAAACCAATAATCTCTATGCATGGCTGATTAGTTATATCCGAATGCTTAGTGATTAGGTCTTAAAAGGCATAACCACCACGACCACCTGTTGCAGCGGTTAATCTTTGGAACATTAGGCAGATTAGTATCGTCTTCTGTTGATGGTAGCACGTTGACTCGAAGCTTAATCCCAGCCTGACAAAGACCAGTCTTTAAGCTTACAAAGTAATGCACTCCTGGTTTGGTAAGCTTGATGAGATCGTGTCCTGTCTTGTACACAGCTACGGTAGAAGTTGGTTCACATGATCTGAACTCAAAATCATCGCTTATTTCTCGAACGTCGTTGAGGTTCTTGTTGTATTCAAAGTAGAGAGTATCTCCAACACGGAACTGTTTAGTTTCACTCCACCTGTAGTAGTAGTAACTGTTGTACACGCTCCATCCTTTGGTATCACCTACCTTGTAGATCCTTCCTCTCTTGCTCGGTGTTGGTGGTGGTGGAGGAGTCTGATCACGTGAAGGGCCTTGGTTCTCGCTTGGTGATGGTGGTGGAGGAGTCTGACGTGAAGGGCCTTGGTTCTTGCTCGGTGGTGGTGAAGGAGGACTTTGACGTGAGGGTTCATGGTTCTTGCTTGATGGTGGAGGAGGACTTTGACGTGAAGGGCCTTGGTTCTTGCTAGGTGGTGGTGGAGGAGTAGGATGTGATGGTTCATGGTTCTTGCTAGGTGGTGGTGGAGGAGTAGGACGTGAAGGGTCATGGACGACAAGAACGTCGAGTTTAAGTCCATTGACGCATTGAATATGATTAGAGGTGATGAAGTAGTAATGTCCTGGTTCCTTGAAGGTTACGACATCGTGTCCGGTGTTATAAACAACTTTAGGAGAAGAAACATCGCATGCCATATACTCTTTAGCGTTGGAAACTTGAGCAAGGTCGTTGACGTTCTTATCGTATTGGAAGATGAGAGAATCTCCAACGTGGAATTGTTTATGTTCAGCCCAAGAGTCGTCCTTCACAGTCCATCCATAGTTGGAACCTCCGACTTTGTAGGTTTTAGCTGAGGTGCAACTTAAGAGAAACATGATCACAGTCATAAAGACAAAGATCTTCTTCGTGGCCATGGTTCGGATCGTATGCATAGGAAGAAGAAGAGAAGTATAGATGAATGTTTTGGTGAAAAAAAATAAGTCACGTAAGTGCTCTATTTATATAGTTTCATCGATCCCTAATCATAATCCTTGTCTTATTAGGAGGATTAGTTTACTTTTATTTCCTTTTCTCTAGATGAATAGGCTTTATTTATTTTAGTGTTTCTAATATATAATGGAAATACTTATATTATTGTATAGAACTACTTAAAAGGTTTAACTTGTGCATAAATAAAATACTCCAAATAATTAAAAAAACATTGTGATAAATAGAACTTATATATTTTGTGATATTGATTATGATTCATAATAGTCATTTGTGTGTTTGTGAAGGATCTTATTAGTTATTTAACTTATGGTTGTGTCGATCCTTGTGTTGTTCTTAAATATGTTTTATTATGGCTTGGTTTCATGCTTTAATGTATAATAAAGAAAAATTACATATCAAACGAAAAAAACAAAGATGTGTACTCAAATTCCATCAAATAAATGGTAAATTGTTAATATTAAATCACAATATAATTGTTTGCTTAAATCTGTTTTTTGAGAATTTTTGAGAAATACCCCTTTAGGTGTACCCCTTTTTAAAAATACCCCTTTTATCTATCCATTTTCAAAAATACCCCTATTTAAATATAAAAAATTATAAAGTTTTATATAGTTTATAAGGTACTTTTATATAATAACTTCTACTGGGAGATTCGATACAAATATTTTAAAATGTTTTAAATAGTTTTTAATCGTTTTTATATGTTTTATAAGGTTTTTAAAAGGTTTTTAAAAGGGTTTATACAATTTTTATAAGGTTTTTATATGGTTTTTATAATTTATTTTTACGCTATTTATGAAAGGTATATAAAGTTTTATACACATATAAAGGTAATTTGTGTATATATTTATAAGCTTACACACATATTTGGATAAATTTCAATATTTTTAGTGGTTTTTTTGATAAAGTTTGAAAAGGGGGTATTTTTAAAAAGAGGTATATGAAAAGGGGTATTTTTGAAATTCCCCCCTGTTTTTTTCCATCTATATGGAATACAAATATTAAAGTTATATATTATTCATGCAAGTCTTTGTTAGGTTTTGGGTAGAATTGTTAGTGACAACAACCATGAGGGTTTGGTTCTTGGAGTTGAGGCAATCACGCAAATTATTCGAGTTTTGCGGTTTGGAATTAGTGTTTCTTCCTCGGACCTATGCTAGTTGTTTCGTTATGCTTTCTTTGTCGTGTTTTTTTCTCTAGTATTCGTAAATCTTTTAATAGTAGTCTTTACGACTTTATTTGTTTTCTCCTGATGCAACTTTGAAAATTGGTATAAAATTTAGATTTTTACAACAAAAAAATGGTTAGAAAAAGTATATATATATATATATATATATATTTTTACTCTAAAAATGGTTAGAAAAGTATATATTTAGTTTTTTGTACTCTAAAAATTTATGAGAAAGTAATTCAACCTCTTATTTTATTTTTTATATAACATCTCTAATTTAACCTTTTTTTTAATCCACTACCAAAAAAATATACACAATAATTGGGATAACATAATATTGATATTTCACATTTTGTAGTTACTTTTCTCCAAATGTCTTATGAAGGCATCTAGTAAAAAATAAAAAGTCTGGTCTTATAATATTTTATCAACGTAATATGACAATATTGATTGAAATGTAACTTATAAATTCTTTTTATTTATTTTTGTGTTTGGCTTTTTCTCCATCTTCGACCTTCAAAGCCGAAACCTTTTGCGATTACACTAATCAGACCCTAAACATGAACACGATTCTACTCTTACGCCATTACAATCCCAAACTCAAACCTCTTTTTGTATACTTACCTTCCCAAATTCACCACTTAACCTCTTTTTGTATAATTACCTTCTCATGGTTTTGTGTTTTTACTCAAAACGAGAATGCCCACAAGGTGTTCGACACAATTCCTCAATACCCAAATTGGGGTCTCCGTTGTATTTGGCAAAGACCCTCTCACGTGGTCTGCACGTGACATCTTCTTCCATTACCCTTACTCGTTCGTTGGTTTTCTCCTTTACCGCTTCTCCTCTGTTTCTTCTCGGTACCAAGAAAACGCAAGATCAAATCTTTGAAAATCGTTACTTGATAGTCTCTTTCTAAGCATGGAGCCTCGTGTTCTAGGAGATGTTAATTACGAACAAATCTTCCAACGCGCTAAAGATTTCTACCATGAGAAAGATTACGTCAAGGCGTTGGAGGTAATTGAGGATTTGTATTTCGTCCAAGGGGAAGACAGAGTAGCTGTTGATGCGCTACAAGGTCAGATCTTTATGGAGCTAGCGGTGAAAACAAAGCGCCCTGATGTGAAAGTTGCATACTTGTTGGGTTGTGTACAATGTCTTCCGAGAACTCCTGGGTGGTCACAGTTGGCGGCAATTTCACTCCTCACTTTGGCTCAACAGCTTGAGTCAGTGGTTTATTACAAGAAATCGGTGCATCAAGCAAAGAGAGCTTTATATGATCTTATAGTGAATTTTCCGGAGGACCTAGAAGAACAGAGAGCAATGGTGTCTGTGATCGAAAATGCAGAGTCAAGAATAGCTGAATCCAAGAGACGAGTTGCTTCTTCTGTAAGAAACTGTGAACAAATAGATAGGGAGTCGTTAAAGGAAGATGGGGATACAGAGAAGAGTGAGTCTGATTTCATCAAAGGATTGATGTTGTATTGGGCTGGTTTGAATGTTGAGACCAAAAGGAACTTAATGAGAGTAAGCATTGCGGATCTCACGAGTTATGTTGAGGGAGTATATGGTAGTGAAGGACTAAATGCATTGGAGCAAGCTCTCACTTTTGCTAGGGAAGAGAGAAAATGGAGATTCTGGATGTGTAGGTCTTGTTCGAAGAAGTTCTCAAGTGCTGAAGAATGTAAGAATCATCTTGAACAAGAACATCGTGCAAAAGTTATTACCGATTTTACAACGCATATGGTCCATATGCCCCAAAGGATAAGTAAAGTCTGGGCTCGTAAGATATCCACTGGAGGTTGGGAACCAGTGGATGCAGCAGCTGCCATTGAACTGATTAAGAATCGATTGGAAGATGTGAAAGCATTTTCCTATAAGAATGGATGGTCTAAAGACTGGCCTTTAGCTGCGGATGAAGAGCGCAGTAAGTTACTCAAGGAAATCCAATTGCTCCTTGTGTCGTTTTGGGACTGTAAGATTCTCTCTTGTAGCATTCGAGACTGGGTGATGCATTTTACGGTTAAGCATCTTGAAAGGCTTGAAGTTTCCAAACATACTCTCGTTGATTGTTGCCTACTGGAAACACCTCAGATTATTTGTTTTTGTGAATGTGCTGAACTCAATCAAATCCTGGAATTTCTTAAAAAGATCAAGCGTGAAAGGGATGATGGTACAGATCTAGTTTCCAGAGCTGTAGACAGTTTCTGCTGTGCAACACAAGTTAAAGAAAAGCTCGACTTTGACCCTCAGTTTTCAGTTCTGCTCCTGGATAAGAGACTGCTGCAATGCAAGATTAATCGATTCGATGATGAAGGGACAGTCAATGTCTTTGATCCCAGTGTTCACTATGCCAATGCACATGCTCAGGGAGGTTATATCGTTTCCTGGTTAGTCGACAACTCTTCAGGAGATGAAAGTTTTCGATTTCCCACACCTATCAGGATGCACAATCTTGATATATGGGTGGCTGTTCTGAAAGCTGTTCAGTTTACATATAGGACTTTGTCAATCAAATATACAAAGAAGTGGCAGCTCCTAGATTATGATACAGCTCTTACCACCGCCAAAAATTTGTGTATTAGCGAAGATGCAAAGAGGAAGAATCTTCAGAAAGATCAATGGAACAGTTATGCATCTCTTCTGTGCGATACATGTGAAGAGCATTTAACGATAGACGCTGGAAAATCCCCGACCACAAAACTATTCTTCTGTGCTGTACAAGATGTTTTCAAAGGAGCATCATTTCCGACATTTAATTTTCAAAATTGCATGAATGTTATACGTGAGCATAAAAATCTTGGTGATGATATTGTGATGAAGTCAATAGACTTTCTGATATTAGTGATCACCAACAAGGTTCATTTCTTATCTGAATTTTAATTAATAACAGGGATATCATATAATAGTTTATCTTAAACTCTCAATTGATTGCAGGTTGTTCGAATAGATTCAAAATTTTTGCTGGTTGAAAGTATAAGGATTAATTTGCTGGAAAACCTCACCAGACTTTCTGTTTTCGACTATCGCTCTTACATTCTTCGACCAATGAAAGAACTCATCCTGGTTAGTTTGATTTCTACTGAGAGCTTTCATTTTTATTTCTGATTGGGTCCTTATGTTATATTTTATGTTTCATCGTGTAGGATGGTATTATATATATGGAAAACAAAGCAAAGTTAGCTGCAGCAGAAGCAGATCTTATATCCAAGGGAAAACAAAAGGAGGAGATGAAGTTGCCATCGAAGAAAAAGAAAACTAAAAACAAAAAGGTCTTTAATTTGAAGTTCTAAAGTTTCTATTTGGTTCGCTGACGTTTTGGTTATTTAATTGTAAGAAGGAATGTCTTCATGGTGAAACAGAGAACTTCAACAAGCATGTCTAGTCACCTTGATAAGAGTGTTGAACAGTAAGTACCTCACGAGTCTTTTTTGTCATGATGATATTTTGTTTTCGAATTGTTTCTAAACAAATTGTGCACTTACATCTCTAGTGCAAATTCTGTCAACCTTGAACTGGAAAATACATCTCCATCAGTGTGGTCAGATTCTGTGGAGAATGGAGGGTTCGGCCTGAGATTCTGTTTTATGAAGCTATCGGCCTAACAAGTGACAGAACTATATCAATATAGGAAGCAAGCGTTGATGTATAAAAAGTTAAAAACAGTGGCAAGTTAGAAGTTGTGTTCATTATGTGAACAGATCAGTTATTATTGTTTCTGCAACTCCAAGAACTGATTATATGATATCATTTGTTGCCTTGGCTAATTGAATTTGAGCTACGGTCACTTATATGCATGAAAATTCGATTACTCTTTGGCCAGTTTTCACCTATGCAAGAACTGATTATATGATATCACATGTAAGAGTTTATTGTAATATATAAAGTTATACGTTCTATCAAAAAAAAAAAAAATTATACATTTCAACAAAAGAAATGTATGAAATTGAAAATAAATATTCAAACTTCGACCTGATACTAGTCTAAAAGCTTGCTGAATATATTTTTGTCTAAAATAAATATATTACTCAAGTTTATATTGACCCAAATTTAAAAAAATACTCCTTTTCCAATACCACATTTCAAATATACTCGATCTCTTAAACTTTACCAGAAATGCCACAAAAATTAGAAGTTTATCTATAAAAATATACACAAATTACTTATATATGTGTGTAAAATTTTATATATATATAATTTATAAATAATGTATAAAAATATTTAAAAAAAAATCCAAAGCAATGGTTTTACGCAAAGTCAAAGTAATGTCATATAATGTGACTCCAACGAGTACGTCTAGGTGTTTTAAGTGAAATCTTACTCTTAATTTCACCATTACTAATCCATTCTTCACTTTCTTTCTTTGACTTTCTCGAATAATGTCTTTTGTCTTGCATAAAGCTCCAAACAACATTCATGAAAACATAATTCATATAAAAAAAGTTTCCAACTTCAAATTCTTTCTTCTGCAATTGCCACAACAAATAACTGAAGCTCATGAGTAAAGTAATGAACATAATGTGCAAAGCTACTTTCTTTCATAATCAATGATCTCAATTCATTGAATTCTCCCTTCACATTGCTAGCTCCTTCGTAAACCAACCTTTTCACTTTTCCGAATTCAATTCACATTATGAAAACATTGAATCAATAGCATGTTTCAGAGATATGGCAGAAGTATCCTTCACATGCACAATACCAACAAAATTTTTCTTTAATGATCAACAAAATGTAGAACCATTTCTATTTGCTCTTTATTGGAAACATTTGTAGATTCATTAACAAGCAAACCAAATGTCGTACATTGTATTTTCTTGAATAATGGATATGATCACTTTTTCTGCAAAGCAATGCACAATATCCTGTTGAATGGGAGGAGACCATTTGGTTGTCCGTGGGAGCATTTTTCATATAGCCTCATTTTGCTGGTAGTTTACTTCACAAGCTCCTCTAAATTAAAATAATTAAATTCCTAGAATTGTAGATGCTCTGATACCAAATTGAATCAACCTGACCCATTTTTTTTAAAAAAAACATCATAATCATTATTCCCCATAAAATAACAATTAAGCCAACTAGCATAACCAAGCAATAACTAGCAAACCAAAATCAATTCCGTAAATAAACCAATTCAATAATGTAAGCATCCCTAAACGTGATATAATTAAAAATCCAGCAGTAACAATAACATAACCAACACATAAAAACCTAGTTCCTAGATCATCCACCTCTTGATCACCATGATTCCACGATTACACCTTAGCTTTACATGCACCACAACATAAAAGAGATAAATGAGGATTATCACAAATACATAGTGAGACTGTACACCAATCTACTAGGCTATACACACAAGTGAGAAAAATGCAATCAATTACAAAACCACAACCAAACTAGCAATTTAGGAAGTTGAAACGCTTTCAGGTTGCACTGGTGTCGATCGACATCCAACGTAGTATTGACATCGGTCTTCACATAAACCCTTTAATCTTCCACTACTGTCATCGGTCTCCGTGTCACCAAACTCAATCCACACACAAACAAGGCACATGAAAAGACCCATCCCGTTTTTTTTAAAATCATGCAAACCGGATTAACTTAATTAATTCAAACAAGCTAAACAAGCTATACTGAACAATCAATTTAAACCATCTAAACCAGCTAAACCGGTCCTAATCAATTTAAACCATCCAATTCCAATTTTTAACCAGTTAACCAACAATCCAGTTTAACCAATCATAAACAATAACCAGCGAAACCAAGTATTCCAATTGCATTAAACCCGCATTCCAACAAATGTTCAAACCAATCATTATCCAGAAATATAAAAGCATCCTAACATGTTTCTAGATTTCAAAACGAACAATCTCCTAACCAGTTCTAGCAATTATCCAGAACAATCAACGAGCCCCTAGATCATTCTTCTCTCCTCGCCATGTTTCCACGATCACACATTTTCTTTACCTGCATCACAGAAAGAGATGCATAAGTATTTTCATAAATACTTAGTGAGGCATTCATCCCCACAACTGGCTATACACATAAGCAGCATAATTCACATTCAAGCAATAACCAACAAACATAAAACCCGATGCCCTAACATCACTCATGTCGCTTCTCATCAACGAATCTGCTCTTTCAATCAATCCATCGCCGAATAGATAATCCACAAGACTCATCTAGAGGCACCACATCACAAGAAACATGCATACAAACTAAGAAAATCAATTAACAACCATAGAAATCACCAAAACATGAAATAAACAACTTAGATAAGCCTAGGTCTTGCACTCACCTTTTAAACAAGAAAGAACAGCAACGAACAAGGGTTAACAAGGGTGAAAACAAACTCCTCAAACACCAAACACCACAGATCTAACTTCCTTTAGCCTAGAACCACCAAGAAACAGCCTTAAACCTCTCTCAAACCTCACAAAACCTCACTGGGGAACTTATAAACTTTCGGAACCTCTGAGAAATAACAAAAGCGGCTAAGAACAAAAATAGGGTCGAGTTTCCTCCTTTATAAAGTCGAGCCCTTGGTTAAACCAATCCAAAACCACTCGATTTTGCAATTAAATTCAAACCGGTCTAACCGAAAAATGGTGGTGTCGAACGACACCACCCATTTTCGAGCACGGACGTTACAAAAACAAGCATACAATAGCAAAGAACACTCAAATCAAACATTTATTTAATCAACAAATCAACTTATACACTCAAGTTAGACATCAACAAGATATCATCAAGCTTTGATCAGTCATGGTCACCCACTCTCCTTGGATTGATTATGAACGAAGAACAACAAGAAACAAATATTTTTTTGGTTATTCACTGTTATGTTAGATAACATAAGATTTTATAATTTGTAAGCTAGTAAAAAAAAGATCAACATGTTTCCCGAAGAAATTATTTCTTAATAAAATGACTAAGATGGATATATTTTATCAAATTGAGTAAAACAGACCCATTTATTTTTGGTTAAGGCCTTATAAAAGCAAAGGCGAGTGGCTTAATTGTAATTTACTTTCACAATGTTTTCTTTACAAAAACCTAATCTCATTTTTTTCCTCTTCTCTAGCCGCAAAATTTTCTTTTGTCTACTCCCATTGCCCCCTCCACTTCTTTCCCTCCCCTCAATGAACCAATCACAACTGCTTAGTTACACAATCTTTTGAAAAGGTACCCACAACATATGGTGAATTACAGGTAGTGATTTGATCTTCTACTATCTCAAATTTTGCAACATCATTTTGCAGATCTAGAATTGGATGCTCTCGTGATATCCAAATCAGATCTATAAAGTTTTTTTTTGAGATGACCGACATAATGGCTGGATTTCTTTTAAAGAAGATGTAATTTATAATTCCTTAGTGTTTTCTAGGGTAAGTCGGGTCTTTGTTGCATGTTTTTTTGTTAGTATGAGGGGTGGGCGTAGAAGAGACCACAAGTAGTGATTTTAAGCTAAGAACTACTCTAAAATTTTGAGTAAAGGTTTTTAATATTTTCTATCTTTGGTGAGAGAAAAAAATTTCCGCTGAAATCAAGGTTGAGAGATTGTGTGAGCTCCTAATTTTCTTGATGATATGTTACCAAACTCTAATTTTTTGCATCTTATTATGTTGGATCTCTCTCTTGTGTGCGTAATGATTTTGGACAACACACATTTTGTAGAAATGTTCAGATCGATGGGAAGAAATGACGAGACACACATCACCAACTCACAAGAAAGATTATTAAGCAGCTAATTTCATCTGCTTGTTTGAGGACTCTGCATTTTGGATATTTGCTTTGGACGAGATTTGGATTGTTGACACAATCTTCTCTTCAGTAGTAAGTATTTATGATTAATAAATTAAAAATCTATTGAGATATGGTCCTTTGTTTTGGTTAAAATTTTTATGATGCATGGTGGCTAGATATGTTAATTAATTATTTAGAAACTACAATTGAAAGTTATTGATTTTGTAGGTAAAGAATAGATTTCATGTTGGCTAATATAAAGTTTTCCATATATTGTCATATATAGTTTGATACTGAAACTATATATGACAATCACAAGTTAGCTACTCAAGCAATATTGCATTGAGAATAAACCTAGCGCCTAACGAGTAAACTACTCACACATACGCATGCAAATCAAAACCATATGAATAAGATATTGCATAAAAGGTTAAAAGTATTAGAAAAGGGTTTAGAGATCTGGTCTGAGATACAAAGTTTATGAACTTTCTTCGTTCAACAAGTAGAAAACAGAAACATAAGAAACTAGAAAAAGTAGAAACGGTTTGGTGACTTCGAAGGTGAACGACGATAGCTCCCAAAAGGAGCTGTAGGAAGACGAGTTTCGACGGCTGTTAATAGGCCTTAGGTCGTCTCTAGGGCTGCTGGTGGAGGCATTGTAAGGTATGATAGAAGCACAAGGAAGGCACACCTGAAACCCTAGATCTTAGAAGAGTATTTGTAGGGTTTGTCTTGGCTTAGAGCTCTCAAGTGTAAAATTTTCTTTTCATGTTACGTGTAGGAAAAGGGTTGGGTGAAGAAGGTTGTTGGACCGTCGTGATGGTCTGAACCAGGAGACCATGAAGACTCCTAGTCGAGCCGTTGTTAAGGACCACCGACTACATGCTTGTCTACTCGCCGGTTTGTGACACGTTTTGGTAAATCGGGCATAACTTCCGAATTCCTATTTGAGTGTGATTGGTGTCTAAGGAAAGCTGGAAGAGTCATCTTTCATCTACTGTTGA